GCAGGACTCTGTCTCAAAAATTTTTTAAAAGGGGCTGGGGTGTAGCTTCGTGGTAAGGTGCCTCTGTGTTCAATACCCAGCACAAATAAGTGAATGTAATAAAATAGAATAAAAATAAATACATAAAAGAGAAGTCAAAGCCAGGTGTGGTGGTGCATGTCTGTAATCCCAGCAACTCAGGAGATGGAGGCAGGAGGATCCTAAGTGCAAAGCCAGCCTCAGCAATTTAGCAAGGTGCTAAGCAACTCAGCGAGACCTTATCTCTAATAAAATACAAAATAGGGTTAGGGTGTGGCTCAGTGGTTGAGTGCTCCTGAGTTCAATCCCCAATACCCCCCCCCCAAATTAAATAAATAAATAGAAGAGAAGTCTATTTGGAGAAGCAGAGAATAAAAGATGGAGGGTGATAGGTGTTACCTGAAGAAATGCATCTGGGAGACCAGGACCAAAGCAGAATTAATTGGGAAGTCTCTGGAAAAGTGTAAAGTGTGTGTGTGTGTGTGTGTGTGTGTAAAAGATTCTTCTGAACACTGGGAGTGTGGTGGGGGTGGAAGTCTATATGTATCTGTCATTTCCTGGGCATGCAATCCTTTTTGAATAAGATACTTCAGAAATGGTTTTTCTCATTAAAACAAATGCCAAAGATGCAATGCCTTCCTCATTTATATTTCTTCTAATATGCTTCTGCTTGAGCAAGTGAGCCCTTAATGTCAATTTCAATTAACGCCGCTGCATCTGATCTCTGTGGTGCAGCTCACGGATGCAATGGGGGGGGATGAGGGGGAAGGTCAGTGGGAAGTGGGAGGAGGTGCCCCTCTTGTTAGGAGCTTGAAGGCACTGGTGAGGGAGGCATTGGGAGGAAAGATGTGGAATGATCTGCTTCCTACTTAATGGAGACCATAATTTAAAGATGCCAGGCTGTCCTTTGTTTGATTTAAAAACAAAACAAATATGGAGATGCAGCAGGAAGGCAGAGAGCTAGGGTTCTGAGCCAGTGGGGAATGAATGAGAGACATATCTTGCTTTGAGAGCTTCCCCCATAACTGAGTCCTCTAGCCACCAGTCACAGGGCGAGGGACAGTATGCTCTGCTCTCTGCTGTTCTGGGGGGGGGGTTCTCTGATTCTACCATATGCCTCTTTTTTCCTCCCAGTCAAGATGGCTCAAAGCTGGTAGTCTCTCATGAACACATCTGTGAATGGTCTGAGCTCCGCATGGAAATGGGATGGACCAGAGTTTGGCGTGGGGGTAGCAAAGCGAGGCTCAGGAAGAGTGTTCCTCCCTGTTGTCTATTTTCCTTTCTTCTTTTCCCTATCCTTGCTTTCCTTTCTTTCTTCCTAACAAGGGGATTTATTCAGGAAAAAGATATAGATTTATGTCATTCAAGAGATGAGACTCAGGAATGATCCTCTCCTCTCTGAGAAGTCGGAGTTCTTGCTTTCCATCCTCTTCATCATCAATAACCATCATTCTAAGAGCTTACTGTTTCCTGAGCACCTTCTATGTGTCAGGGGATGCTACGTGCTTTATTTCTAGACTTCACAATAACTTTCAAGGTAAATGTAATTTATGCCCATTTTACAGAGGAGAAAACTGGGGCATACAAAGCTTGAGGATCTTGTCCTGTAAGCAGCAGGACTGGGGTTTGAACAGAGTCCTATTCATCTGATTTCTGACTTTGGTGTCATCGATGACTGAACACAAGGAAGGGCTAGGATCCTGGCTAAGACTTGCTAATGGATGCACCTGAAATGAGAAATGTTTCCTATTCAGGTCCTAGACATCCACATTGACAAGAATTAAATAGATTTTAACCTGCTCTACATTAGGAGTCAAGATGCGAGGGCCTCACCTATTCTGCAATTCTTTTGATCTGCAGCTTTCAGTGTACCTGATGTATGTTTCCCTCTGTAAGCTTAGTTCTCTAGTTATAGAATGGGGCAAATTGGACTCAGCATCTCCGAAGATTAATTCAGCTCAATCTAAACTGACAGCATTTATGGGGACTTCCAGAGTGACAAGGGTACAAAAAATGGACAAGACAGGTTTCCGTCCAAGGTGAGTTGGATATATGCTCTAATAGTTATAAGTAAAGGACAAGCTTGGGAGGGCAGAGCATCTCACTTACACTTATCCAGACTCTGTGTTGGCTGGAGAGATGAGGTGGGCTTCATGGGGGAGGCATCAATGACTCATGGGATTGAAAGAGAAATACTGGAAAATGTGGAGGTAGAGATGGGAGGAGGCTTTTCCCATCTAACGTCACAGTGGGCAGAAGAGTCACCTGGTTAACCAATAAATGTATAAGAAGTAACAAATCATTGTTTTGAGCCAGTAAGTTTTACGGTGGTTTAATATAGAGCAATAGATAACAGAGACCTCAAAGGTGCCTAATGATAGACTTTATCCTAAAGACCAGAGAATGCCAATTTTCAGAGCACAGTCTACCATAATTGGCCTGTAGACAAAATTTATTTGGCTCTTATGGGGCAATTTGAAAATGTTTGAGCCAATGTTTAAAAACTGGGAAATTTCAGATGAAAATTAAGATTTGGGGGGGGGGCTCTCTTGAAAAATTCTGCATCTCACCACCTAAATCCTAGCAACAGCTGGCTAATTGGCCCGTATCTGTGTGGTGTGTGCTCTCCAGTTCACTATGTCCTACTGTCCTGCTCCTAAACTGCTTTCTGCCCCCTGTAGGCATCTGGATTTTTGATCCATGTTGTTGGCATGGCAATGGGAAGCCATTAAAGGCTTCTGAATAAAGGAAGAAGGATGAGAGCTGCACAATAAGGAAAGCAATAAAGTGTCTCTGGGTAGGTTAAAATAAAAAATCTATTATTTAATCTACTCAGACATGCATCACATCTTGTGGCAAATGCACCTTCCCCTTCTTTGGCTGTATGGTTCCAGCTGAACTGCTAAGATCTCTTTATATGTCCCACCTCTCATTCACAATGATTGGTTAAAGAGTTGTAGTTGGCTTAAGCTGGTCTAATCACAGGGCCTAGCCCTCCAGTCATAGATGACTGGTCCAGGGATGGTTAGCAATCGAAGTCCTTCCCTAAAATTTTGTACTTAAGACCAGAAGCAGAATGCCTCGTTTGCTCTGATGGAGCAGCCGAGAGCTGTGAGTGGTGACAGCTGTTGCAGCTGAGTGTCCAATCTTGAGAATAGCTCACATGCAGAGATGAAAGACAAGATCTGGAAGAAAGAGTCACAGCAACATTCAAGTATTTGCTCCCATCCCCTTGGCTCATTTTCTGAGTTCTCCAGCCATCCTATCAATTCTGGGAACTGCTCATATATACTCCTGATTAATTTCTCTTATGCTTCTGTTAGCCTGACTTCTTTTGAATTTGCAATGGAGAAACCTGGCTATATCCTGGGCTTTGAAGCAATACTGCGGGGGCTACTCTTTACCCCAATCAGGTAGGAGCAAAGAGAGGGTTTATTCCCAAATCTCAGAGCAGGAAAGATATGGTGCCATCCACACTGGAAAGTGCATTATTGGCCTGGGAAGTATCTATCCATTATGGTTTGTATCGGGGATTTCTCCCTCTTCCCTTCCTTGCTCCAAAGCTCATGTTAGGCAAAATGATAGCATTGTGAGGGCTGTAACCTTATCAGTGAATTAATCCATCTGATGGATTATTAATGTGAATGGACTACTGGGTGGGGCATAAACAAAGTGGGACATGGCTGGAGGAAGTAGGTCGCTGGGGGCATGCATGGCCTGGGAACTCTGTCTGTCCCCATGGCTTTCCTGCCTCTTTCTCTCTGCTTCCTGGTTGCCCTGAGTTGGTCAAAGGCAGATGAGGAAGACAAGGTGACTTTGCAGGTGACAAGCCTCTGTCTTTTTCCTTTTAACATTCATCATCTCCACATGCTGATTCTCCTCTCCCGCTCTTCTCCCTCCTCCAGATGGGATTCGGCTTATAGGGATTCAGCTTGACCTGACTGCTGCCATTTTTTTTTTTTTTTTGCGACAGCAGAATTAATTTTTTTGGGGGGTACCAGGGATTGAACTCAGGGGCACTCGACCAGTGAGCCACACCCCCAGCCCTATTTTTTTTTTGCATTTAATTTACAGACAGGGTCTCATCGAGTTGCTTAGTGCCTTGCTTTTGCTGAGGCTGGCTTTGAACTTATGATCCTCCTGCCTCAGCCTCCCGAGGTGCTGGGATTACAGGCGTGCACCACTATGACTGGCCAGCAGGATTAATTCTAATGATGGGGAGAGAAAGTGGTTGAATGCATGGTTGGGGCTTAGATAGCCCTGGGTTCAAATCCTGGTTGCTACATGTGTTGAGACATTGGCTGTTACATTTCCTCATCTGTGACATGGGGACAAAGCTGGAAGTAACATTGTGGGGTTGCTGGGAGGGTTAACAAGGCGGTTGAACCAGAATAGTTTGAAAGCACCTTTTGTGCAAACCTTCCAATGATTCCCATTTTCTATCAAGTTGAGTATAAAAACCAGTTCCCTTTACATTTAGTTTTCTCAACTCATACCTTCTTCTACAGAAACCTCTAGCTTATAGTCCTGTCTTTTTTTTTTTTTTTTGGTGGTGCTGGAGATTGAACCCAGGGCCTTGTATATGTGAGGCAAGCACTCTACCAACTGAACTATATCCCCAGCCCTCATAGTCTTTGTCTTTTTCTGTTTGCTGTTCCCTCTGTCTAGAATACCCCACAGCATTCTGTAAACACAATTCCTATAAAAATGTGAGGCACTAATATTTCTACCTGTAGAACACTACACGTTTTATTGAAACTAAAATTCAAATTCAGGGCTTTTATTTTGTGTGTGTGTGTGTGTGTGTGTGTTGCTGGGGATCAAATCCAGGGCCTGATGTGTGCTAGGCAAGCACTCTACCACTGAGCCACATTCCCAAACTTATCTGTTTTAGTTAGGGAGTTACAGTTCCCAGTACAAAAACCTCAAATAAACTAATAAAGATGTGTTAGTTCCTGTTAAAACTCAGAGGTGGGTCAAGCTTCAGAATGGACTCTTTTTTATTTTTAGATGGACACAATATCTTTATTTTATTTTTATGTGGTGCTGAGGATGGAACCCAGTGCCTCACGCATGCCAGGCGAGCATGCTACCACTTGAGCCACATCCCGAGCCCCACAGAATGGACTCTCTAGTTCAATTTTTGTGTAATGTTTTCTTAGTTCTGTCTTCCTCCAAAACTTCCATCAGGTTTTGTCTTCTGACTGGCTTTCCTCATGGTAACTAAAAAAAAAAAAAAAAAAAAGAAAGAAGAAAAAAAATATTTGGCTGCAACTGTAGGCACACTGCACCACACTATGTAGAAAACAAAAGAATATTCTTTCATTGACCAACAGCCCTGGGTCCTTAACAATTAGGTGGCAAGACAGTATAGAGATTTAACATGCAGGTTCTAAAGTTGGACTTAAAATTATTATCTCTTAAGTGTATGACCCTTGGGAAAGTTAATCTGTGACACGGTTTCCTTATCCGTATAATAGCGATTATAATAGCATCTTCTTCAAGGCTGTTGTAGGAATTAAATAAACTTGAAAAGCAGTTAGCAGACTTCCTAGCAACTAGTAAATGCCCCATACATGTTGGCTTGCGTTGCCACTGTATTTCCTTAGAAACATCTCCCTTCATACTGTAATCTTCAGAGATTCTTCTGGAAACACTAAGTCTTCCTGAGATTTCTCTGTTGAATTTGTAGTTAATCATTCAACAAATATTAAAAGAAGGACTATTGTTTTGGGCTCTGAGGAATGAGCAAAACTGACAATATCCTGTCCTTGTGGAGATTACATCATAGTTGAAGGTGGGGATGGGAGAGAGACAATAAAGAAATACACACAATAGGGTTATGAAGAAAAATCCAGCAGGAAAGGGTAGGAGGAATTATGGCATGGAGTATTGCTATTTAATTTATTTATTTTTGTGGTACTGGGGATCCAACCCAAGGCCTTGCACATGCCCCAGGCAAGCATTCTACCACTGGAATACACCCCAGCCCTTTTAAAATTTTATTTTGAGAGTTGCCCAGGCTGGTCTTGAATTTGTGATCCTCCTGAGTAGTTGGCATTCTAGATGTGCACCACTATGCCCAGTGGGATGCTGCAAGTTTAAATGTGGGCCAGGGAAAGCCTCTTAAGGTAAGTGAGCCATACCAATGTCTTAGAAAAGAGAATTTGAGGCAGATACTTGCTATTGCAAGTGCAAAAGCCCTGGGGTAAAAAGCCCACATTGTTATAAAAAAAGGGATAGAGGCTGGAGCAGAGTAGGGCAGGGTAAGACTAATAGAGATAAAATCAAAGAGTAGCAGATCACACAGGATTTTGTAGAACATCAACATAATCTTCAGTGCCAGCTAGGGACAGGGCATCACCTGCACAGGCAAATTTTTGTAACCAAGGCCATAAACTGAGCAAAGTGACAGCCTTAAGTTTTCTGGTGGTAGGGCTGAAGGGAGGTCAGAGAACACTTCTCAGAGGAGGTGGTTCCTAAACTGAGTGCTGAAGGATGAATTAGAGGTATCTGGGCAGAAAGGGAGGAGAAATTCAAGTACTGAAAATGCTTACAGCAGAGAATGCTGAAAGATTGTGATGTACTTAACTAAAAATGGTAAGGCTAGTGTGCAAGGGAAGAGCCAGGGAGTTATCAGAAAGTAGGCAGACTAGGCTGGCAGGGGCCAACTTTAATTGATTGTTTATTGAACACTAGATATGTGCTAGCCATTGCACTAATTCTGGGAACACAGTGATGAAAATTCCTAGTCTCATGGAACTTACATTCTAAAAGTGGAGAGACAAAAATACATAAATAAACAATCGACAGAACAAAATGTCAAACTAGAGAACACCTTTAGGAGGAAAGACCTCTCTGAGGAAGAAATATTTAATCAGAGACTTGGGGAAAGAATATTCTGGGCCTTGCTCTTCTGTATCACCATCTCTCTAATTTGATTTCTCTTTCTTTTAAAATAGGACATGGAGGTCATCAAATAAAGGAAGGGCAGTTACTATTGTTGGTTTGCCAGAGTCAGGACTCTCAATTCAAACTGCTCTGTTCTCAGGAATTTCACATCTTAGGCAGGTTCTAGGAGAGGCAATGTAAAAATATAATCATGAAACTGCAGATGGGAAGACGCATGAGAAAATCACAGGTCAGAAAAGGTATGAAGAAAACGGTCCATTTCCAGCCCTCACTGAGGTCTATAGCTGGCAATGGTTCTTTTGTACTCTAAGAAGACCCCTCCAGCTGTTCTGAGATGTTATAGCCTGGAACTGTTTCAAATGAGATTCCTACAGGGATACGCTTAGGAGTGTTTAGGAAGAATCACTACCACTCGGTCATATAAAACATCACCACCTCAGAAGAGGAAAGCTACTTGAACATAATTTTTTTTTTTTTTTTAAGTAAGTGGAATCTCCTCCCTGGACCATCCTCACCGCGGTCTCTCCGCCTAGTCCCAGCCTTTGGCAGCGAGGAGCGATCCTCACCCAGTCCGCGAACCGCTTCCTTGAAAGTGAAAGGACCTGGCGCTTCTCCCCACCTGATCTTTTCCGGATTCCTCCCGCACCGCAGCCAGCCTACTGGTTAGGGCCTTATCTCCAAGCCTCGCCCACTTCAAGCACCACCCTCTCATCCCTCCTTTAGGGCCCGCCTCCTTCCGGCTCCTCCCCAGATTGGCCACCTCAGACCCCCTCCTCCCTGCTGTGCTTCCGGGCCCGCCTCCTCCAGGCCAGCTTCAATCCCCCGCAAAGCTTCTCTTCGGCTCCGCCCACACCCTCCTCCCTTCAGAAGGCCCCGCCCCCTTCCGGACTCTTCCTCTGGGCACTTTCTCTCCTTAGCTCCACCTACTTCTCCTCCTCCTGTGGAGCGCTGCCTTGGCTCCTCGGTCTCCCAGGAGATCTTCTACACCTATCTGGCACCCCAATTCCCAGGGCACCACCACGCTTTCGCCTGCCCCGCCTTCAGCTCCATACTGGTGTAAGCGACTCCCTTCCCCACCTAGCCCCGCCTCCCACCTCCGTTCCTCCCCCCCGCCAGGCCCCGCCCCAGCCCCGCCTTTCTCCTCTTCCCCGCCGAAGCTCAGGACCTTTCCAAAGCCAGACTCAGAGGGTGGGGAGGGTTCTTGCGCCTGGGGAGCCAGGGTTTTTCAGGGGTTGCGGACTCCTAGTGTTTGTGTCACCGTGTCCTTCCCGGGAAACAGAAGCTAGAGGGAGGGAGAGCCCAGGGCTAGGATCGGAGCGGCAGGCAGGGCCGAGGGAGGGAAGCCGCTCTGGACACCCCTATCTCCGCGCGCCTGAGTGGTGCGAGCCAAGGGAAGGACTCACGGCTGCGGTGCTCGCGCCGCTGTCAGTGCGGCGGGGCGCGCGGGCAGCGCGGGCGCAGGGCGCAGAGCCGGGAAGCTGAGGGGGCGGTCGCGGTGGCGACTCGCGTGCGTGTGCTCGGTCTCCTCGCGCGGCGGCTAGGGCCGCCTCCTTCCTCCCTCCCTTCCGCCCCTGAGTTCGGCGGCACCGCCTCCTTCCGCGCCGCGCGTCTTCCTCCAGACCTCTCGGCGCGGGTGAGTTGGGGCCCGCGGGCGTCTTCTTCAGCGTGCGGGGGTTGTTCCTTGTGCCTGTTCTGTCGCCCACCTCTTAAGACTCGCCGCTGCCTATTTTTAGAAACTCTTTTTTCGGCCATTCGGGGAGTCCCGGGAGCCCGAGTAACTCCAGGCCCCCACCTCCCCTTCCCTCTCCCGGGTCTGCCACTCTGGGCTGGCGGCCCCGGCCCACCAGTGCTGGCTCTTGGCCTCCGTGGCGTTCGCTGCCCGCTTCCTTCTCGCGGGCCGGGCCTGGGCCAGGAGTTGGCGGGGTGGGCCCGCGCCGCTCGGAAGTTGGAGTCTTTTGTGCTCGCGCCCCGCCCCGCCCGGCGAGGGGAGGAGGGAAGAGAGCGGAGGCCGCGTCCGGGAGGCCTCGGGCGGGGAAGGCCCTGGTCCCAGCCCCGGCCCCGGGCTTCTTCCGGCTTTCCCGCCCGAGCTGGGTCAGCCAGCTCCCCAAGGCGCGCAAAACTGCCCCTGCTTCGTTCCCGAAGGGTCTGAGCGTTTTGCCCCCCACTTCTGCCTGTCCTGGGCATGTTGCACATCTCGGGATCTGAGAGGAACAACAGGCCCACGAGCTGGGGCGGTGATCGAACTTCACCTATTCCTCTTGGCGGGGGAGCCTCGGTTTGCTCCTCCGTGAAATGGAGTAAAGAGAGAAACTAGCCTCGCAGTGTTCGTGTATTCAGGGAGGGAAACTAACATGTGCGAGAAGTGTTTAATACCAACAGGTAACATTTAATGAGACTGACTCAGGAACTTCATAAACCTGTATCATTTAATGCTAACAGTGGCCTTTCAGGGTTGTTCCCAATTACAGAAACAGGCGCAGAGAAGTTAATTTCCTCCAACTCACCGTAGCCACAAAAGTGCAAAAGTGCAAAACATTGGTGCTGTAACTCCTATTTCCTGGTGTATGTGTCATCTCTTAAGTACAAAGGATATTTTGACTTACTGTTAGGTCACATCATTTAGAGATACAACTCTGGGTTTTTCCTGACTCCTGGGCCGGTGTCCACTGTACTATAGATGAAATCCCAATTTGCTGCTATTAGAGCTTCAAGGGAAAGGAGGTGTGAATGGTTTCTTGCTGGTATTGCTTGTATAATTTGACGGATGTAGGAGATTCCACAACTGAAGTTCTCCAGCATTTGGCTAAAGTCTGTAAACAGTGAAGTCCTTCCTTCATTTTGCTTAGGGCTTGTTTTTCCTCCCAAACCTTGCATGTCATCTAGGTTTAGATTTGTAGATCCTAGTTGGGAGAAAGGGTTGAGTATAGCTCAAGTCCTCTTTTTAAAATTTCTCCTATTTTCAGATAAGGCCCAGAGGGGTTAAAGTGAACTAAAATTAGCTTTGGCAAGTGTTCCAGTTTTCCACTGTGTTTGATCCTGGTTGTGGGGAGTGTCTAAAAATTAGGCTGAGAAGTTTTTTTCTGCCAGATCTTGAGGAATCTCCTGATGTTTGCATGATTTCTTTGCCACTGGTTGGTCTGCTACACGACACCCACCCCCTGCCTAAGATTTCTAGATTTAGGAGTGATGGTATATAGGAGGTGGCATATAGGAGTTTCTTCAACTCACAGTAGCCACAGAAGGGCAAACAGTGATGCTATACTTTTTATTTTATGGTGTATAAGTCATTTCTTAGCAGAGAAGATATTTTGACTTAGTGTTAGGTCACATCATTTACTTACAGACAACTTCTTACAGACTGGTCCAACTTTCATCTTTCTCTTCTTCCTATGGATTGAACCTTGGAATGGGAAGTAAGTTGTCCAAATTCATAGCCTGCCTTAGGGACAGTCAGAACCAGAATCTCTAGTGGTCTTGCTCCCAGTCCAATAATTTTTAAATTTCTCACATACCTTACCACCTCTTCAACCTAAGGCACTAAACTACTTATTAAGGGCTTAAGACCAGAAACCCTGAATATGGAAATACCAAGTAGTTACACCTACTTTCTGTGCCCTATGTTAAAAGGCCAGGTTTTGTACAGGTGTACCAGTTCTCTTAAGTAGTGACTTTTACATTATTTATAGTTTACAGTACTCATTTGTTACCATTATCTGATTTCTAGTTTTGTGAGTTTGCAGAGCATGGTTTATGTCTCCTTTTAAAAAATCTTATATTTATTTTGGCCATAGATGGACACAATACCTTTTTTTTAAAATATTTATTTTTTGGTGTAGATGGACACAACACAATGCATTTTATATATATATTTTTTTATGTGGTGCTGAGGATCGAATCCGGGTCCTGCCCGTGCTAGGCGAGTGCTCTACTGCTGAGCCACAATCCCAGCCCATAATACCTTATTTTATTTTTATGTGGTGCTGAGTACCTCACACATGCTAAGCAAGTGCTCTACCACAGAAGCACAACCCCAGCCCTTATGTCTCCTTTTAACTGTAACAGTGGAGACATACATAGCAAGGTTAGGGCTCTTGTCTTAGATAATGGAATTAACAAGTGTTGAAGACAGGATATCTTCATGGATAGAAGATTTGAACTTGCATCATGTACTGAGCCACTCATTGTGGCCCTCTGAGCTTCAGTTTCCATATGTGTAAACTCTCATAGGATTGTTGTGGGTCAATGAAAAGATAGATGTCAAAGGGCTTTGTTGAGTACTTAACATGTACTATCAGTCACTGGACTAAGGACTTTATGTGGAACATGTCATTTAATCCTTAGAGCAACCTATGAATTGGGTACAGAGTTTATATGACTTGCTTAGGACCCTGTAATCAATAAGTGGCCAAGCCAGGGTTCAGACTGCAGACAATGTAATTTTCAACTGGTATGCTGTAAAAATTGTGTGTGTGTGTAGGCATACTTTAAAAAAAAATTTTTTTTTTTAGTTGTAGATGGACACAGTTTTGTTTATTTACTTTTATGTGGTGCTTAGGATCGAACCCAGTGTGTCACACATGCTAAGCAAGCACTCTACTCCTGAACTGCAATTCTGGCCCCTACACATACTTTGTGTGTGTGTGTGTGTGTGTGTGTGTGTGTTGCTGGGGATTGAACCCAGGGCCTTGTGCATTCGAGGCAAGCACTCTACCAACTAAGCTATATCCCCAGCCCTACACACTTTTTTAATTTTACCATTTTAACCATTTTTTAAATGTGCTATTCTGTGATATTAAGTACATTCACTTTCTACAATCAATCACCATCATCCATCTCTAGAACTTCTTACAGTCCCTATCTGAAACACTCTATCCATTAAACACTTCCTATTCCCTTTTCCTGCTAGCCTCTGGCAACAACCATTCTACTTTCTGTCTTTGAATTTGACTACTTTAGGAAACTTGCATAAATGGAATCCTTGTCCTTTTGTGACTGGCACAAATGCCTTTTTTAGTCTCCAGAGTGTTTGTAAATGCAAATTGATTATTTTCATCTGCAGTAGGGTGTGGCATTAAGCTCTAGAGCAGGAATCCAGGCCTGGTTGTATGTTTTAACCCCTCCTCCTCTGGGGTTGAAGTTCCTTATTGCTGAAGCCCTTTTTGGATCTGCTAGTTCCTTCTGTATCTTCAGAAGAGATCTACCCTTGAAGCAGAACTCAGATAACTCCCCATCTTTGGTCTTGTTTGCACCTGCTTTTTGACCACTCAGAATCAGAAAAGCAGCCATGGGGCTGCAGTGATCAGGAATAGCAGTGCTATCTATGACAGCAGCATGAATCAAAAACTATTCAGAGGCTGATTAGTGGATTGCTTTTATAATGTGCTCCTTCTCTGTGTCCTCTTCTTTCTATAAAGGTGCATAGGAGGGATTAACATTTGGGTTCTTAAGAGGGTATCAGTGGATTCTTACTGCTTTCAGGTGGTTAAGGTGAAGTTAGATGCTGCATTTAACCTTTTAAAATTCCCTTGTTGAGATTCTGTTTCAATGGATGCCTCATTTGTTACTGGAAAGTTTTCCATTCACCAAATAATTTTAAAGCATCTATCAGGCATGGTATTAAGTTGGGGATTTAGATGCATACAGCCTTGTGGGGAAGACAGGCAAGGAAAATATGCATATGAGAAGTGTTGTGGAAAGGACCAGCATCATGAGAGCACAGAGAAATGGTATTTAACCCAGTATTGGGGGACCAGGAAAGTTTTCCTTGGAGAAGTTGGCTAAACCTAGATGCTGAGAAGAAAATTGGTGTAAGCCAGGAAAAGAGGTAGGGAGGCAGCAATAAGACTGTTCTGATAGGGGCTGTGGCAGTGGCTCAGCTGTATTGCACTTGCCTGGCATCTGTGAGGCATTGGTTCGATTCTCTGAACCGCATATAAAGAAATAAAATAAAGGTCTGCAACTACTTAAAAAAAAAAGTTCTGATAGAAGGAACCTCAAGTCCAGAGATAATGAAGATAATAGGTGAGATTTTTGGCTGTTCATTATATTTAATAAGTACTATACTAAACATCTTTTCTTGGGGGAGGTTTACTGGGGATTGAACTCAGGGGCGCTCAGCCACTGAACCACATCCTCAGCCCTATTTTGTATTTTATTTAGAGATAGGGTTTCACTGAGTTGCTTAGGGCCTTGTTTTTGCTAAGGCTGGCTTTGAACTCCCCATCCTCCTGCCTCAGCCGCAGGTATTACAGAGGTGGGCCACCACGATCCACTCTAAACATCTAATAGGTTAATTCACTTCTTTCCATAACCACCCTGAGAGGTGGGTACATTTATTCCTATTCCTGCACAACCCCAAAGACTGCTTATATTAAGCCTAGAAAAGCTTAGATTTTCTCCAGATAGTGTCCCCTACATGTACTACTGTATCCCTCTCTTTTGTTCTGTTTTGCCTTATTGGGGATGGAACCTGAGACCTTGTATATGCTGGGCAAGTACTTTATTACTGAGTCATATCCCCAACCCCTCTCTGTAAGTCTTAAGGTACTTCTCCACTAGGAATTGGGAAAACAAATATGAGTATAACAGCCTGAGGGACCTCATGTTCCAAAAGGGTGTTAGATACGGTAGCTA